AGCCTCCTGGGGCGGACCATCTTAATGGGTCCACCACCCCTGCGGAGGTTAGAAGTTGCAACAAGTCTAAACTTGATCAGGTGGTGGTCAGTCCATGGCAATGGGGAGATTGATAACTCCTTCACACCGCCACCTTCTTCCCAGCCCTGACAGAAGACCAAGTCAAGTGTGTGTCCAGCACAGTGGGTAGGGCCAGATATTAATTGGGACAGCCCCATAGTTGCCATGGCAGCCATGAAGTCCTGAGCCACTCCTGAAAGAGTGGTCTCTGCATGGACATTGAAGTCCCCCAGCACTATAAGCCGCCGGGACTCCAATGCCAGGCCCGAGACCAACTCTGCAAGCTCAGGTAGGGCGGCCGAGGTGCGGCGGGGTGGTCGGTACACCAACAACAGCCCTATTCTGTCCCGGTCTTCTAGCCTCAGGTGGACACATTCAAACAAGGTCGACTGTAAGGCTGGGCCCCTGACCAAGGAAATGGAATCTTTATAGACTATTGCAACTCTGCCTCCCCGCCCCCCGGATCTTGGTTGGTGTTGCACGGCGTAACCTGGTGGGCAAAGCTGGGTGAGATTAACTCCTCCAGCCTTGTCCAACCAGGTCTCCGTGATGCACGCCAGGTCTGCCTTTTCATCCAGGATTAAGTCCTGAATGGTTGATGTTTTACCATTGACAGACCTGGCGTTCAACAGCACCACCTTTAATCCGGGAGGACCGTCTACCTTGGTACCCAAGTTTACCATGTCGGGAGGACATTTTGGAATTTTTCTTAAGGTTTGCTCACGAATTGGCCGAATTGGTTTTTTAACTCTCCCTTTCCCGTATCTCCCCCTCCCCATCATCACCTCGATGGGGGCCCCCCAAGCACCAGAACTCCCTCCCTCCCCCCTCTATCATTCTCCACATCCTGGTAGTTCACTAGTGCGCTGTTATATGTTATATTATTCCTTCCAAAACTATTCACACCTATGTTTATGTTTCTGAAGCAACTGAATGACATCACTTACCACTCAAAATATTTAATCAGAGATATGGAAGAAGGAATGCCAGACTTTCCGTATGCAAAGCAGGGAATCTACCCTCGAGCGTTGCTCTTTCCAATTGCCCGAAATAGACTTGCTTTGCTCTGGTGTGGTCTATCGTTGTGATAGAGTGCATGCAATCAACTATTATTCTTGGAGCAATATCATTCCTCAAGAGTTGTAGGGTGAACTTTGTGATGTAATCGAGATGAGCAAGGAGGCAATCACCAGGGAGGGCAAATGGGGTGTAGAGCAGAAGGTGGAAATTAGACAATTATACTTAGGAAATGAATTGATTCACGTTCTCTCCACCTCCCTTCCTTCCTCAAGACACACACACGTACCCCAACACAGTACTTTGGAGACAGTCTTCTAGCCCGGGCTTGTCCCAACTACATCATCGGAGAGGAATGGTGTAGCAACAGATACGTAGTCTTGGCTCATATCAAGTGTGAGCATTGAGCAAGGTGGTGAGGATAAAAAGAGATGCCTTTGATCAACTTTTTGTCATGGTGTCCTCCACAAGTTTGAGTTTTGGATGGTGGAAGCTGTAGACACCAAACATCTGGAAGGAACCGTCTCCAGAAATATATTACTTCACTCTTTCTCTTCCTTTCTGTTTGCCTGTGAGATCTTTCTCTCTTTCATCCTCTAACTTCTTCTTTTCTTCCCCCCCTTTGCCTCTCTGTTCCTCCTTCTTCTTCCTTCCTTCCTTCCTTCCTTCCTTCCTTCCTTCCTTCCTTCCTTCCTTCCTTCCTTCCTTCCTTCCTTCCTTCTTATATTCTATGCAAAATACTCAAGGTCTTCTCCTTTTCCTCTTTCTCTCTCTTGTCCTCCTCTTTCTCCTTTGCCTTTTCTTTCTTCATCCTCTTCTTCTTCCTTTCCCACCTTCCTCCTCCTGTTTTTGTCATTCATTCCTTCTTTCTCTCCTCTTCCTCTCTTTTCTTTCTTTCTTTCTTTCTTTCTTTCTTTCCTTTCTTTCTCTCCTCCTTTATCTTTCTTCTTCCCTTCTCTCCTCTCTCCTCCTCCTTTCCCTCCCTCCCCACCTCTTTCTTTCTTTTCTTTCTCATTCCTTCCTTTTTTCCTTCCTTCCTTGTCCCACTCTCCATTTCTTTCTTTCTTCCTTTTCTTTCTCTCTCTCCTTTTTCATTCTTCTTTCTTTCTCACCTCTCTCTCCCTTCCCTCCCTCCCTACCTCTTTCTTCCTTTTCTTTCTCTCCTCTTCCTATCTTCCTTCCTTCCCTCCCTCCCTCCCTCTTTCTTTCTTTCCCTCCTCCTTTCCTATTCTTATTTCTTTCTCTCCTCTCATCCTTCCCTCCCTTCTTGTCCTTCTCTCTTCTTCCTTTGCTTTCCCACATACACTTTCCCCTTCTCTTTCTTCT